TTTGACTTACTTCACTCTGTATGACAGTCTCTAGATCCATCCACGTCTCTACAAATGACCCAGTTTCGTTCCTTTCTATGGCTGAGTAATATTCCATTGTATATATGTACCACATCTTCTTTATCCATTCCTCTGTTGATGGGCATTTAGGTTGTTTCCATGTCCTGGCTATTGTAAATAACGCTGTGATGAACATTGGGGTGCATGTGTCTCTTTGAATTATGGTTTTCTCTGGGTATATGCCCAGTAGTGGGATTGCTGGGTTATGTGATAGTTCTATTTTTGTTTTTTTAAGGAACCTCCGTACTGTTCTCCATAGTGGCTGCATCAATTTACATTCCCACCGACAGTGCAAGAGGGCTCCCTTTTCTCCACATACTTTTGAAAAAATGGAATGTGTGAGGCATTTTATGCAAGCTGCCTACAGACCATGCTTGACACTTACAAGGTTTTAAAAACAAGCCAGGACTCAGGACTCTCTACCCGCCTAGCACCTTGGCCTCTATCTGTTCTATTCTCTCAAGATGAGGCTAATCCTTGGTCTCCTATCCTGCCCCTCTGAGCAAGCTATTGAGTAACCCTCCCAGGTAACTGTGCTTATCACCAAAGGGAGCAGGATACTAACATTTATTGAACATGTGCTGAGTTCCAGGCACTGTGCTGTGAAATACTCTTATTAGCTGCATTTTACAGATGGGAAAACTGAGGGTACAGCGGTTAAGCTAGGAAATGCTGGAACTGGGATCATGTGACTCCAGAGCCCTTTTACCTACAACCTACTGGAACTGTCTGATGTTTCACCCTCCTGGGTAAAATCACCTTTATATTGAAGGGGAATTTGGGCACCTTAGCAGAACTATCTTGCAAATAACAGCACAGATGTGGATGTCTGTCTTCTGGGCTGGGTCATATTCGTCATCCTGGGCTGCTGATCCAGGCTATTTTTATGATATTATGATATATCGTATAATAATGATATATATGATAATTATATAATAAAGAATATAATGATGACATATCATAAAAGTAGGCTACTTCTTTCAGTTCTTTTATTTATTTATTTATTTTTGCCATTAAGTTACATTTTTTTTTTAACATCTTTATTGGGGTATAATTGCTTTACAATGGTGTGTGAGTTTCTGCTTTATAACGAAGTGTATCAGTTATACATATACATATGTTCCCATATCTCTTCCCTCTTGAGTCTCCCTCCCTCCCACCCTCCCTATCCCACCCCCTTCTTTCAGTTCTTAATAAGAGCAGCAAAACTGAAGCCTCGAAAAATATAGGAATTTGGTCTTGTGTCAGGTTGCTGTGCACTGGAATGTAAAATTGCTCTCCAAGTATTTCAGAGCCAGGCAGATGACTTTTTTAGTCTAAAAACTGGTTAAATTAAATCAGGCTTTGAAGTCCTTTGTGAATACCACCGTTCTTTAAAGATTTCTTGTAATCCAGATGTTTAACTCCTTGTCTAAAACTCTTTGATCGGGGCGAATCCACCTGGGAACATATCAAAATGCAGCTTTCCTATGAGGTTTTCCTCTCTCTTCATCGCATTCTGGTTCCTATAAGTCTGAGCGCTCCCAGTGACTTGTCTCTTAGCATAATGGCCCTCTTGTGTCAAGGCAGATCATGTTTACATTTAAATTAGTTATAAGAGTTTGTAAAAATTGCATAAAGGATCCAACTCTCTTCTCCAATGTTAAGAGGCACCGCTATTCTCCAGCCTTTGGGATCATCTTTGCCCTTTTAATGGCCGAACAAAATATAATTTTAAGAAATTCCATGCGCTCCACAAATTTTCTGGGAGAACTCATTATCCTGATGCGTGGCTGTCACCTCTCACTCCAAACCTCTCCTCCTGGTCTCATTTCGGTCTCCCCGGCCTTCCTCATCACCAGTCTTCTCAGCTGCTGTCCTTTTCATTATCACTTTATCCCCAACGTGGACTCACTACGCTTTTCCTCATTCTCCGAGGCAATGCTGTTTTATGTAATAGACTTCACCGAATGCTTGGAGGTAACAAAGACGAATCACAGTGCAGATTAAGAAACAATTCAGAATTAGATATGCAACACCAGTGTTCCTGAATTTCCTTGGTATCCTGACATGCTTTCCCAGCTTGTTGTCTTGCCACCTGCTATAACAAGAACTGGACGATAAGGTGTGTCAGAATAAAGTCATCATCACTACTGCAAGACCAATTCTGTGTCCCTAGTCAATCCCAGGACCCATGGGGCCCAGACTCACATGATATGACACTCAAAGAAACAGTTCAGGAGCAAAGAGACACCTCAATCTCTAATTGCATCTGTTGAAGGATATGAGAGGCATTTGGTCCAAAGCCCACTGAACCTTTCTCCTCTCCTCTCCTCTTTCACCTCCTGTGGTTATTCCAGAGCCTCTCACTCTCCAAAATTCCTTACTCCCAATTCTCCTCTATTTCTCTTCCCAATGTCCAGCCAAAGTGGATTTTTAATATATCTCTTTTTCTTTTAACACTTTATTGTGTACGTCAGTTTAGCCTCTCAGGCTTCCTTGAGTTTGTCTGTTTACCTAGTTCTAGTATTCAGGGCTATAGAGAAAAACCCTGGGAGTTCTGACCATCAAGCAAGAATCTTCCTCCACTCAGAAGATAGGAAGGGAGGAGAAATCTCAAAATGTATATATTGATCTTTCCTGTCCCTATTATGCATTAATATTTTTCTCTGCTCTAGTTCAGGAGACAAACCCACCTTGGTAAGTTAAGAACAAGGTAATGGCCTGTTAAGAAAGCAACATCAGGACTGTCTATCTAGCAGTGGGGGGAGCCAGTAGAGCAATGGTTCTCAAAGTGTGGTCCCTGGACCAGCAGCGTCAGCACTGCCTGGGAACTGGTTAGAAATGCAGAGTCCCTCAGACTCGACTCCAAACCTACTGAACCAGGCATTCTGGGGTGGAACCCAGCACCCTCTGTGTTTCAACGAACCCTTCAGGTGATTGTGAGGCAGGTACAGTTTGAGAAGCAATTTTTTTTTTCCTGATCTGGACTTTCCCAGGCCAAGGAACTCATTAAACTTGATTCCAATTCCAGCGTTGCCTCCTTTCAGTTCCATGACCTCCACCAAATCACTAAACCTCCCCAAGCCTGCGAGGAGACCATACTGGACTTTCTGCTGCAGAGTCACAGGACTCCTCATGTCAAAGGCTGACCTCACCATGATTAAATTCCATGGCTCCCACCCACGGGGGTTCAACATGCCTTCTTTCTTTCTTCCTCTCTCTTTGGGGAGCTGCCAACATCTTCTCTGTCCCTTAGGGTGTTGAACCCCCAAGTTTGGGGACTATTTCAGTAATAATAATAATGACAGCCCCAGAATCTACACGATCAGCTTGTTCTTGGCCAATAATGGAATCAAATTTGCTTCCCCAGTGCAGGTACACTTCCTGAAAATCAGCACCCTTGGAACTGGGATAAAGCACTTTGACCAAATACAGTTCTATTAGGTAAATGGCTCACCTATAACGAGAACGGGAAGCCAGCAAGGGATTAAAATCAGAAGTTGAAACAATGTTTCAACTTTAAATAGGTCTCTCTCCACTCATCACTTCCTAACCCCTCCTCTTCTCCAGCAAGCTCCTAATTACTACGGGTTAGAGTCCTCAGTAGCAATTGCTTTCATCAAGGCATTTAAAGCTTCGCTCTAGGAGCTCTGTCACCAGAGCACAGCCTTAACACTTTGCCCATTAGTGCCCAACCAGAAAGATTTTGGTGAAACAGAGGGTTTTTGCTGCCTGGTTGCTGATTCTCTAGGTTCTGGGCTTTTCAGGAGAAGGTAGCAATTACCCCTGGTCACAGTGGGGCACATCCTCGGATGCAGCAATGAGCCCGAAGCCACAGAGGGAGGAAAAGGTTGCAGCTCCAGAGAGCAGAGAGATATACCCAGTACTGACTTGCACACCTGCTGGAAGGAAGAAAGGCAGGAAATAGAAAGCCATCTCCCTGCCCTGGAACTGCCCTCACACTCCCCAGAAGAAACTTTTTGGCTACCTGAACAAATGCTTCTCAAATGGTAATGTGCATATGAATCACCTGAGGATCTTATTAAAACATACATTTTGATTCAGCAGTGGGGGTGGGCCTGAGATTCTGCATTTTTAACAACCTCCCTGGGGATGCTGATCCGACTGTGCAGAGCCCACATTTTGAGTAGCGTGACCCTAACTGCTCCATTTGTGAGGTCCTTGGCTAAGAGAAGGAACTGTGAAAACACAATTGATTCATTAGCTGGGAGTAACTGTAAGCATTTCTGCTGTGCTATCATCAACCTTAACCTCAACAGTGTGAGTTAAAATATTGTCTTACTCAGAGTCTGTCTGTTTTTACCTTTTTATCAGAAAAAAAGACAGTTTAAGTAGTATGTGTATGCTGTTGCTTTGTGTGTGTCAGTGTGTATTATATTTCCATTTTCTTAGTTACGTTTTTGCTTAAATGCAAAACTGATTCCAGAGCACAAGATATGGGAGTGGGAGGGACAAGCGTCACCCCCAGCCAGGGCAGTGGTTTGGTGGGTAGAACATAGAGTTTAGAACCAACAATTAAGGTTCTCAGCCTCGGCTGAGCTATTTTCCAAAACACCACCCTGGCCAGTGCGTCTCAGACTTGTTTGAGAGATTGAGTGCTTGGAAATCACAATGCTTCCAACAAGGCACAATGGAGGAAATATTTATGTTTTACATAATGATATGATACAATTTAACCGGCAGAAAACAGGGCTCTAATAAATGAATGCGGCATAAAATAACAACTCACCCTAAGAACTGAAAATGAGCCCCCAGTTTCATGATTTGTAAAATGAGGTTAATAACCCTACCTCACAGAGGGAGACCTCTGATCCTCGAGTTGGAGCCAAAGACATGCCCAAGATCTTTGCTCCCAAAGCTTCCACAGCGATCACCACACAGCCCACCAGATGGCAACCGTGACGTCCACTGCCACTGGCTGCCGTTTATTTAGCATCATCTACCATGCACCAGATACTATGCTAAGGGCCTTGCAAATATCTCATTAAACTGGACGAAACTCCTCTAGGTGAGTATCTTCATTAACTACATGTTACAGACGAAGGAACTAAAGCTGAGAAAAGTTAAAGCAGGGGTTCCCCGACAGAGTTCATTGGTAGACTTCAGTCCTCACTCATCTTTCAACGGGCCACTTGCCAGCCCATGTGCCCAGCTCCTTCTCCCGTGCTAGGAATTTGCTTTCTTCCTCAAGAAATTAACATGTGGCTTTTGACCAAGGAAGTCTCCATGGCGGTATTAATCTTTTCTGAGTCGCAATTCCTTTGATCATCCATTGAAGGCCATGGACTCTCTGCCCAGAAAAACGCACATAAGCAAACACACCATCTTGCATTCAACTTCAGGGGGTTCGTGAATCCCAAGCAAAGAACTTCTATCCTACAGAGTTTAGAAAGACAAAGAGGGTCTTTTCAGGCTTCAAGCTGAACATGGACTGCTATTCCACACGCTAGCCTGAAATGTCTTCCTTAGCCATTTTCCTGATCATTTTATTTTTCAAATATTTATATTGATAAAAGATTAAACAGACCCCAAATATAAAAATATTCCCTGGCACCAGGATGCCGATAGCGCTTCCAACTTTTTTTAAGCATCAGTCATCAAAGAGACTGTCTTTCTATTATTAGTAGAAAATATCAGTTCAGATTAGGGACCGTCCAGAGAATGCTTATTCCTCTTTCTCTCGGTATCCGAATGAAAGAATATCCTTAGAGAAAAACAACATTATTGCTCCCCCCACCCCCCGGTTTTTTGACATAAGAAGAGACTTGAGCTGTTGACAAAAAATACAGAGGTGAGAAATAGAGTCTGGTGGTTTCTATAACCTCCAAATAAGAAAAAAACAAAAACAAACAAACAAAAAAAACAGTAGGAGTTAGGAGGAAGGGAGAAAGGGAGGAAGGAAAGACAGAGATCAGATATTTATGTTTCGAATAATTTGAAATTAATTTTTGTTGTGTATCCTACAGATCCATGTTTCTCAAAGTGCGCTCCCTGGCCCAGGGCATCAGCATGGTTTGGGAACATGTTAAAAAGGCAAATTCTCAGACCCCACCTCAGGCCTACTGAATCAGAAACATCAGGGAGGGGACAGAGCAGTCTGTTTTGAACAAGCCCTCAAGGCGATTCTGATGCACTAAACTTTGAGAAGCACAGTTGCGGACAGAAGGAACCCTCTCGCAGAAGGAACCCTCCCAGCTAGTCCTATATCAAACTACTGGCCCATAATGAAAGGAGAGCATGGAGAAGAGCACATTGGTAAGGGAACTAGTGTTCATGGAGCGACAACTACAAGTCAGGCACTGTATGTTCATGATCTCAGGTCACCCTTCCATAAGCCCTAAGCATTTTTACTCTTGTCTCCATTTTAAAGATTTCTTAAAAAGAGAGAGATTTCACAAGATCATGTAACTGTTCAAGCTTACAGACCCATAAATAGTGGGCTCACAGTAGGAAATTTGAAAAGTATAAAAAGTTATAAAGAAGAATAATATAGGAATTACCCACAACCCGACTCAAACAAACCACTATTAGTATCTAATGTATCTCCGTATTTTTTTTCCGCTGTGTACAACCCCTCTGGATTTAGAGTTCAAGCTCCAGAGAGGGTTCCTTTCTCTGAGATCTGAAGACCCCAAAACTAATGCCTTAGCCCCCAACCTTGTCCTGATACCCCTAAAAAGCAGATGTCTGGATCCTTCGGTTCTCCCTCCGTCCCTACCTTTGATCATATACAGAAGGAAGAGCTTAGTGAATTAAACAAGTGATGCTGAAAGCTGACCTAAAACGAAGCAGGAGCAAAGACCCTACTCTAAGATTGAGCCAGATGTGGAGCGAGCTATGTACACTCTGTTCCCTAGACAGAGGATGGAGGCTTGTTCTGAGACGTGCGGGTCTTGTGCTGGGGCTGAGGAGAGCTGCTGATTCTGGCACACACTGAGAGTGCCTGTCCGGGCCAGGACACCGTGGTCTCTGCACCACCAGCCAGGTCCTGTGCACCAGAGCTGGGGAATGGAAGTCATCAAAATTCTGGACAGTGCTTTGTGATGTTTGGATGGTTCTCTATTTAACCCCTGTGGAGACTGGTGTGTGTCTGTTTCGTGCCAGACTCAGAGAAAATAGTAAAGATAAAAGACAGGAGGCTGAGGCTTATAGATGTTGTTTTCATAAAGTGTTTGTTTTCCTTGCTGTTAAGACCACTTGTCCAAGTGTATCATTCTGAGTTTTATTAAAGTGCCGCAAGAAGAAAAAAGCCAAAATGTTTTTAGACTATATAGCTGTGGGAGCCCAAACATAATGAGCTTCCTCTTTTGAAAAAAAAAAGAGAAGAGAGAAAGAAAGAAGGAAAGAAAGAAAGAAAGAAAGAAAGGAAGAAAGAAAGAAAGAAAGAAAAAAAGAAAGAAAGAAAAGAAAGAAAGGAAAAAGGTTAGCTTTTTTCCCCAACCCTGCCATTAATTCTAAGAAACCTGGAAGCAATTACTGTCCTCCTACCACCCCAAGCCCTTAGTTTTCACCAAACATAAAATGAAAATGAAGATAACCTGCAAAGATTTTATATGACAGAGATTTGTCACATTCAGCCTGTGGATAATTGAAATTTACAATTAACAATTCTGTCAGAAGAAAGCCTTTTAGTCTCAGGGGTCCTTTATTATGTATGCTAATAGGACAATTTAGGATGAAGGCAGGTAGTAGGTTCTAAAAACAAAAGCACCACTATGTAAGTTAAGGAGTAAAACAAGTCATTCACGTATGAGAGAGAAATTTTAATATATTTTACTTACCTACTTTCAAATAGATAATATATTCATATAGTTCAAAATTCAGACAGTACCAAAGGAGAGAGAATGAAAAGAATCTTTTCACATCCCTTCTCTCCACCCTCCAGGGGTAATCAGAGCCTCTAGAGCTCTTTGTGTTCTGACAGAGGAATATTATGCATAAACAAGCAATACACATATAGTCTTAGGCCCTATCTTCTAATGCAAATAGGAACACACTGTTCAATAACACTGTTCCATGCCTTTTCTTTACACTTACAATATCTCTTTTTTTTTTTTTTTTTTTTTTTTTTTTTGTGGTACGCGGGCCTCTCACTGCTGTGGCCTCTCCCGTTGCGGAACACAGGCTCCGGATGTGCAGGCTCAGCAGCCATGGCTCACGGGCCCAGCCGCTCCGCGGCATGTGGGATCCTCCCGGACCGGGGCATGAACCCGTGTCCCCTGCATCGGCAGGCGGACTCTCAACCACTGCGCCACCAGGGAAGCCCTACAATATCTCTTGAATGTGTTTTCATATCAGTATATAAAGAACTTCCCCGTACATGATCCCTGCCTTAAAATTATGCCCCATAATAGAGGTTCCTTCTAACTGCCCTCATTGGTGTCTGTTTTGTCCCTTATTTTACTGTTTTTCTGTCTCTGCTTTTGTTGTAAGCCTTCCTTTCTGTTCCTCTTACATTGCATCTGGCTAAATGGAAGAAGATCCATCTTTGTGCTGCAGTGACCCTAAGCTTCCGAGAACTCTGGTGATAGCATGTCTGAAGAAAATTCCTGAGGTTGGGAGCTTGTACCTTTTTGGAGAGACAGATATGTAACAGGATGTAAGGAGCAAGGAGTAGGAACAATGGGAAATATCAATAGAACCAAGATGAAAGATAAAGGCAATGTAAGAACCAAACATTTGGGATAATACATCCCAAGTATATCAATCATCGATGATGATTTGGATGACTGAACCAGTAAAAGCTGTTTTTCTATGTGAGGAGTCTGGTAAATGTGCACAAGTGCCTCACAGATTAAAGCAGTAGAAGACGGATTATGCAGATGGGCAGACAGAAATTGTGCACAGGGAGCTATAGAAATCAATGTAGTCGCTACAGATGGGAATGTAAGTTGATATATTTCTAGTGTCCAACTTAGAAAAAAATATCAAAAGGATTAAAATGTACACACCCTATGGAATTATTCAGGAACTCCTCTTATTTTAGGAAAACAAGGATGAACGAAGTTATCACATTATTCAAAACAGCAAAAAATGGAAACCATCTAACATATCAAACATAAGAGACTAATGTAGTAAATTATGGTGCATCCACAAGCTAATATACTAACAGCTGTAAAACATGTTTATAGGTTTGAGAAAATGTTCTCCATAAATTTCAAAATTATAAAAAATTATAACAGCAAAAAGGCTCACTCTGTACATTTATTTTAACGTAATGATAATAGCAAATGTTTGTTTAGACTCACCATGTTCCAGATGCTCTTTGCAGCATTTTAACTATGTTAACTCTTTTAAACCTTACAATACCAAAAAATTAGGAACTGTGATTTTTTTCAAATTCGCCCATGAGAAAACTGGGTATAGAGCAGTTAAGCAACTTGGATGAGATGGCATGGTTGGCAAGTGGAAGGCTGGTAACTGGTCTCAGGTCACTGGTCTCAGGTCTTCTGGTTAATACCCACATGCTTAAGCACATGTGACAATGCCTACGTATGTATGAAGAAACCTAGGAGACAAATGGAATTAGGCTGTTTTTGAATGGTGACCATAGGAGAGAAAATGCATCTCTGCATAGAAGGAACTCATCTTCTGAAAGCAGCTCTTTCAGAGAGGCACTGAGGGAGATGGGTCCAAGACTGGTCTGCCTGTGGTGCAAGGGTTCAGTTCTGACAAGGCTGATATGGGAATCTGAAATCAAGGGTAAACAAATCAATCTAAGGAGACCTGGAAGGGGCAAAAATACAACTCAGTATCTTGAAGATAATTTAACCACAAAATATGCCATGAAAGCATTCAGATTTAGAAAAACAAACAACATTCAAGTGTTCATAAACCTGAACTTACAAAGTGATCAACTATTTACTTATTTTCTCACATCATAATTTCTTTAGTCTATAATGATTTCTTAGGATGCCCTTTACAAGTGAGCTCTCATTGTGCACTTAAAATTAAATTAAAATATTCAAAATAGAAGAGCAAAAGGAGAGTCTCTGTTATAAGACAAACAAAGTCCAAAAAATCCTAATATTCAGCTTACATGTTGCATAATCGTGTGGGGAGACATTGCTCATTTTTTGTCACTTTTCCTTGGAAATGCTTTCAAAACTACTTTTATTATGAATTTATTATTCTACATGGCTTTTAACAAATCATTTTACCTACATCATTTACCATACTTCTCACCAAATGACTATGTTTCCAGAAGCTCAAACCCACTAACAAATGATGATGACTTGCCACCAGAGAAGCTATTTTAAAAAAGGAACTGCAGCGTTTCTAGACTCAAAGAGATATTCCCATAACATATTTCATAATGTCAACAGTGTTAAGATAAGTTTATCTTCCTCAGATGGCTCCTGAGAAATTCTGACATTTTGTTTAAAAACAGAACTAGTCACATTGCTTTATTATCACATATATAACTTCAAGTTTAAAAAATTTATTGTATAAATTGAGCTATATTTATATACACATATCTAGAATTTATTTCAAGGCTTGTGGGCACAGTATTCCTTAAAGTACAATAAACACTATTTTCCTCTTCATTGCATAATAGCCTGGGGCCTTGAGCAAACTAAAATAAACGACACTAATTTTTCAGTTGTATGTTAAAGCCTGAAATCCACCACATAAATATTCCAAAACCAACTCAGAGCAGTAAGCTGATGGCTGGGTGGGAAGCACAGAGGGATTACTCTAAGGCTTTGAGGGAGCAGGGGAAACACGTTTCTTGACCTTCTGTTCTGAAAGGCTCCTTTTCATCTGGTTTCAATTCTCTTGTTTGTGCACCTTGCCATATTTATTATTGAATTCCTGATGTCTTCTCTTTGTGTCATGTTCCGTGTTCCAATGATTTATGAGAAATTGCTGATCTAGATGTTATCTTTGGCATCCAGTGAGTGCACAGAGCCCCTTAAGAATGCTGAGAGAAAAAACGTGTTTTGAGCTGCACAGTGCCCAGGCTGAATAGATGTCCATCAGTTCGTGAAAAATGCCGGCCGAAGATGTCTTAATAAGACACATTTTTTTTTCTTCAACACAGCAGTAGCAAGGATGTTTTCAAAATCACTGATGTTTTCTCGTCTTTGGTTGATGATTTTTGTTAGAAATAAGACGTGGTCCTAAAATAGTGATTTGAGAAGAAATCTGGTCAAAGATTTTTTTTTAAGTTTAGCTCAAGATGAAGTGGCATGTTTTCTGTATCAGTGTTCTGCCTTATTTGGTTTGACTAAGAAATGAAATATGCTAATGACATTTCAGTTCATTTCTAAACATCTTCATAAAGATGATCTAGTTTATACATGTGTAGGGAGTGAGAGGGTTTTTTTAATGGTGACCAGCTTTCTCTAGTTAAATTAAGTGAAAATTAATTTAAAAGTTTAATGTGCTTGGAGAAAATCATCTAATTAGATTAACTTTTTTAGGCTAATCAAAATAGTTGGGGAATTTCCCTACATTTCTTCCTCTCCACTAGACACATCACCAGAAACATTGCTCTCACTGAACTTTATCTTTCTAGGCAACGCCTCTGTTTTACCAAAGCACTATATCAAACACCCTAAAGCACACATGTATACAGATTCCTTAGTAGACTTAGTGCTTTGTAACCTTATCCATAGAATTTAATAATTTCTAAGTGACTACGGGGTGAGATGGGTCAATATATCGAGTCCTAATTATTTAAAATGACATTATTCATTCATTTCCATCTTATTTCTCAGACTAAAATCAGAAAAGCAACACAAAGAATGAAGACAACAGGTAAAGAGGTTAAGGAACACTATAATAAATAGTGTACTCTCAATAAAAGATATATAATTTTAAAAAAAGAGAAAAGTCCCCTTTTTTCATGATAATAAGGGAGAAAGTGGGTACTTTTTCCCTGTTTCTGCACACACAAATATCAGCTGTGATAGAGCACCTAGAGCAATGAATACATTTCTAGTTTGGTAGTTAAGCAAATTCAGCAAGGAAGTAAATGCCTAATTATTTTAATAAATCAAATGTTCATTTCTGAAGTTCCAAATACTTAAATCCTAGGGTGCTTAAGAAATAATTTTAAGGGCTTCCCTGGTGGCGCAGTGGTTGAGAGTCCGCCTGCCGATGCAGGGGACACGGGTTCGTGCCCGGGTCCGGGAAGATCCCACATGCCGCGGAGCGGCTGGGCCCGTGAGCCATGGCCGCTGAGCCTGCGCGTCCGGAGCCTGTGCTCCGCAATGGGAGAGGCCACAAAAAAAAAAAAAAAAAGAAAGAAATAATTTAAAAAACTGAAGATTTCTCCTGCAAATTTTAAGGATATTTATAGGACATAAACCTCAATCTTGACCAAGAGCAAATCTTTGCTTTCCAGGGTTGTTCTTTATAGAGCTCATCAACTTAGTTTCCAAAACTCAAATTTAACATTGTAGGAAACAAAATGTTAATTTCTGGGTGGTGGGATTAAGTATGATTTTCATTTTCTTCTTTATGCTTTCCTATTTTGTATGGTTTTTATAGTGGTTATCACTTTCATAATTTGGGGGAAGGATACGGGAAAAAAAAATCCTGGGTTACCAAATACACACTGTGCAGTTTACAAGTCATGGCACAATGGTGAAGAAAGGAGTTTTGTTGAGACAAGGTTTCATAAGGATGGCTACTGACCTACTCTACATTCTGGGATTCAAAAACATAGCCATAGATGTAATCTTGTATCCATCTAGGTTAGGTACCTGAGTGTCTTTTCTGAGAATTTTATTAAAAGTTCAATTAAGAAGAAACAAATAGGGAGAGGAGTGGACTGCAAGTTTAGGGTTGGTAGATGCAAACTATTACATTTAGAATGGATAAACAACAAGGCCCTACTGTATAGCACAGGGAACTATATTCAATATCCTGTGATAAACCATAACAGAAAAGAATATATAAAAAAAGAATGTGTATATGTGTACAACTGAGTCACTTGGCTGTACAGCAGAAATTAACACAACATTGTAAATCAACTATACTTCAATAAAAAGATAGTAATAAATAAAAATAAAGAACCAAATAAAATGACTTGTGATAAAGTTAATAACAGAGGCCAAAAAAGCTTTAAACAAAGCCCCCAAACAAGGGATTTCCCTGGTGGCACAGTGGTTAAGACTCTGCGCTCCCAACGCAGGGGGCCTGAGTTCGATCTAGATCCCACATGCATGCCTCAACTAAGAGTTCGCATGCCACAACTAAGGAGCCCGCCTGCCGCAACTAACACCCGATGCAACCAAATAAATAAACAAATAAATATTAAAACAAAAACAATATCATATAAATAGTATACAAACAAAACGGTATTATCCCCAAACTGTTCTCTCTAGGATACAGAAGAAACCATGAATCAGAAATGATTAGAGAAATTACTAGGGAAGTCATGGTCCCATCTAGAGTCTTGGATTCTCAAAGCCTTGTTCAATATCATTTGAGGGCTACAGCTCTGTGCCCCTCGCTGGACTGTATCACATGCTAGTCTCAGTCCTCACTCAAACGTTTTGTTTCTTTATATTGTGCTTGAATTCTTGGTCTTTCTGTCTCCAATTGTTCAAGTCTCAGACTTCAAGAAACAATGTCTTCTTTAATTATATTACTAGTCACCAGCTACTTCAGTCTCTAATTGCTGTATCACAGACCTTTGCAGATATGACTCTGTTCAAATGCCATAAATGTCCACTGTTGTGCCTGGTACAAAACACCTTCTTCTCTCTCAGACAATGAGTGCACAGGGGGTTTAGACTCCTGGACCTGCCAGGCAGTGCAGTAGTTTTCTTTACAATGAAGATATAGGCTGTCACTCATCCTCACAGGCTGACTCTGTTTTCACCCAACAGCAGTAGGCACTTAGGCCCCTGCCCCGTTTTACACAAGAGACAGTCATTCCTAGCGCTTTGAGATTTTTTTTACTACAGATTTTAGATGGGAAATAGAAAAGAGGTCTTACATTCTCAGAAAACTGCAGCAAACATCCAAATCAGTGCTGTCTCTCCTCCCTCACTCCCCAGCTTTGCTGCCAGCTGGGGTTTTCCTTATCACCCTTCATCCTTCAAAGAGCCCCCAGCCCCTCTGGCTCCCTTTCCTTCCTCCAATCTCTCACCTCCAACCTGCATACTTACATACCCAGTTGTTAGCAAATTAAGACCCTTCTTTATAAAGTGGAGGGGGTTTATGAACAACAATTTTATGTTCTCTTGTTACGTTCACACTAGGTACTCACAACAAACCTTCATGATAGGTTTCAGTATCTCTAATTTACACTGAGGAAGTCCAGGGTATAAACCCAGGTTTTCTCTCTCCAGAGCATCATTCTAAACTACTATACAATGTCTATTTCCTTGTATAATCAAAAGATGTCTCTATAACCTTCACATAAGTCAGTGTGAAATACCCAAACATCAAAATCCAGGCAGCTACAGATGCAGTAATGGATTTTATGATGCAAGACAAGAAATAACCACAGAATTATGTTTTTGTTTGTCTCTTTGTTCTAATAATGAAGGAAAATATCTCAAGGTCAAGTCCAACTCTGAGGTTGTCTCCCTTAAGAAAACAATGCTTGGACAGCCTATACACCCTACCTATCAGAGTCACATAAATAAAAGAAATCATTTTGCGGCACCAAGCTGGTATGCAGAGTAACATTAAGCCAAACATTCTTAACTTCCAGTATTTATAAAGATGCATGTAGTAGTAAATAAATTGCGTGGTGGTGCAATAGAAGTAGATATATGGTTTGTGAAGATTCTACACTTTAAAATCTGGAATTGAGAACTGTAGAAAAAGAGACTAAGAAAATCTGCAGCTTTATTATCAGTCCTTATCGAGTAAAGGAACTGTGACTTGCCTGAGGTGTGAGCAACCATGCGAGATAAAAGGACAACGATGAATGAACCTGGGTAAAGACAGGATTAGACCCAGTAAAATGAGTAGAAGTTTTACTAGTAAAAATGAGTCCTGATGCAAACTCTCAATGCCTTCCCCTGCACCACACTCCCAACTTGCTCTACACCCTTGAATATAACCAAGAAGAGCTTCCTTTTTCTTGCCTTTGAACAGAGGAAGCAAAGTTGACAAAGCAAAAACTAGGTACGATGTGATGAGGGGAAAAGATGGCTTATGTACTTTGGAGAAAAAAGACGCTGCACAGGAATTGGCTATGGAAGCTGCCAGGGAGCTATCCACAGGAGTGAGACTACCCACATGCTCTGACTCACCGTTGATGGGGAAAGAGCCACCATCCCATATGCAGCTGGGTTGAAAGACGTGTATCCGTCAGAAGGGGCTAGATTTTGCTGTAGAAACAAACTTCAAAAATCTCTCTGGGGCTTCCCTGGTGGCACAGTGGTTGAGAGTCTGCCTGCCGATGCAGGGGACACGGGTTCGTGCCCCGGTCCGGGAAGATCCCACATGCCGCGGAGCGGCTGGGCCCGTGAGCCATGGCCTCTGAGCCTGCGCGTCTGGAGCCTGTGTTCCGCAACGGGAGAGGCCACAACAGTGAGAGGCCCACGTACCGCAAAAAAAAAAAAAAAAAAAAAAATCTCTGTGGCTTAAACAGCGTTTATTTCTCACTCACACTTCCGTATCCATCACAGATTGGCAAGGATGCTCACTGAGCCGTCAGGGACCAAGGCTGATGGAGATGCCATCTCAACATGTGCTTCCACAATCACCCGGAAGTGGCATCTGTGACTTTCCTCTCATATTTCATTGGCTCAGGCAAGTCATATGGCCACAGTTAACCTCAAAGGGAGTTGGGAAGGTGCAATCTCATCATGTGTCCAGAAAGAGAGGTGGAATTTTTGGGAACAGGCCTGATGAGTACCACTAGGAACCTCAATGCTATTTCAATAAGGCAGAGGTGGCAGGTTGTCCTTCCTCAATTTCTCTGCCTCCAAAGGGGAGAAAGGCTGTCCACGTGCCCCCATGTTGGATCAGCCATGTTGGATTAGCCTCACCATTCTTTAATGAAGAGGGAGTATAATTAGCATCAGCAACTCTCTGTACTTCTAACTCTATATTAACTAAAACCCATATGTCAACGTTGGGTTTAGTAAACTGCATATCATTCATTCTAAGGGTGGATTTATTCATTTCTAGGTAATGCTTTTAGTTATCTTTAGGTAAAAATCTTGAGTGAAGAGTCATATCAAAAAGTGGTAAGAAAGGGACCATCCTATTTAGATACCTGACAATTGCATTTAAGATTCTTAATATTCACTTTCAAATACTGCTGGTTAAAATATCACTTGACACAATCGTTTTGGAAAGAAATGTGGCAGTATGTATTGAGAGCCTTAAATTACCTCTCATTCTTTTACCTAGCAAATCAACTGTTGGAAATCTATCCTAAACAATCCCAAATGTTTAAAAACAAAACATTACGTTCATTGCCATAATGTTTATAGTAGTAAATTAATTTAAAATAACCCCAAAATGTCCAATAACAGAGAAGTAATTTAAGCAAATTATGGTAAATCTACATGAGGTACCCAATAAAAATTGTTTGTGGGGAAAGTGATTACATTATAACATTAACTAAAAGATAAGGGTACAAAATTATTCATATAGTGTGATCACAAATACTTTGAATGTACCTATACATATATATTTTTGTACAGATTTTGACATTCATTGTGAGCAGACCCCTTCGTACAATGGTCCTAAACAAGGCCTGTTTCCCTTTGGATATGATTCATGTTATAAATGCACAACTGAAGGACTAGCATTATTTCTTAATTAGTGACACAGACCAACACCAACGTGCTGACGATGTGAGGGTATGTAATAGATGTTAAGCTGATTTTAGAAAGTTGGAAGATAGAGGCAAACACATATATAAAAAAGAGAACACTTAGGTAACTTATTTGGCAAAAACCGATTTTCAAAGTTATCAGAAGAAATTGATTCAGTATAAAAAGGCCTAGCCGGAAAAAACCTAGTAGATACATTATAAACACTGAGACTGTTGTGGAGCATAATTCTGAGATGTGTGTATATATTAATAGATGCCTACAGAAAAGTAATCCTCCTATATATTATGCCCTTAATACACCAATGCATACAAGATTGAGGCTAGTTGGTTTTTTGTTGTTGTTGTTTGCCGTACGCGGGCCCCTCACTGTTGTGGCCTCTCCCGTTGCGGAGCACAGGCTCCGGACGCGCAGGCTCAGCGGCCATGGCTCACGGGCCCAGCTGCTCCGCGGCATGTGGGATCCTCCCGGACCGGAGCACGAACCCGCGTCCCCTGCATCGGCAGGCAGACTCTCAACCACTGCGCCACCAGGGAAGCCCGAGGCTAGTTGTTTTTTAATAATTATAAAGTTTCTTAAATGGTTACAATGGAAAAATCTTGACGGGAATTGAGATTATTTAAGCTGGAAATAGAAGCTGAGAAGGAAATCAATATTCAATGAGGTAAAGGTATATTTGTGAAAATGTTAATGAGCAGTTCTTTTAACGGTCCTTAACATTGACTCTATCAAATATCTGATGAAAGCAGACAGACTTAAGACAAATTAGAAAGCATTTCCTAAGTAGCAAAGTAACAACATTCTGGAATATAATGCCAAGGAAATTCGGCAGTGTCCCTCCATAAGGTTTCTTTTGTTTGAAGGAACGGGAAGATGGCCACCTCTCTTTCAGAATCTGAGGTAATTTTGTTTGGGCTGGGGATGACTAAATGATTTCTCAGTTGTTTTTTCAGTTTGAATTGGAGATGCCCTGCTCTCTACATTACTTTTCTGACTTTTTTGAAGCAGAGAAAACCAAGACACTCTTTTCAAAAGCAATTAGTTTATTCTCAGTCATATTACTTATGATGAACTAATTTTGGATTAAAAAAATTTTCTTACAGTACCTTCAGAAATAATTTTTAAAAATTTATTTATTTAATTTATTTATTTTTGGTTGTGTTGGGTCTTTGTTGCTGAGCGCGGGCTTTCTCTAGTTGCGGAAAGTGGGGGCTACTCTTTGTTGCGGTGCACGGGCTTCTCATTGCGGTGGCTTCTCTTGTTGCGGAGCACGGGCTCTAGGCCCACGGGCTTCAGTAGTTGTGGCATGCAGGCTCAGTAGTTGTGGCTCACGGTCTCTAGAGCGCAGGCTCAGTAGTTGTGGTGCACGAGCTTAGTTGCTCCGTGGTATGTGGGGTCCTCCTGCACCAGGGCTCGAACCCATGTCCCCTGCATTGGCAGGCGGATTCTTAACCACTGCGCCACCAGGGAAGCCCCCAGAAATAATTTTTTGCATACTTATTTTTCTTGCTTACTAAAATAAAATAAAACTTATCACAGTTTCATGATCTCTTTTCTAAAAGCCTTGGAGACAACTGTATGTTAAAATTCAGTACTTCTCTGATTTTGAAACAATAATATGGTACAAATATCATATATTATGTAGCACTCCCAGTGAAGTTGAGGCAGTATCCATAATCAAACATATTAATATTTCTGCAGTTATTCATACAAATATTTGCACTAAGTGAGGTAAAGAGTATGAATAGCCTCACATCAATCTAGGTTACATTTTCCAACCAAGTAAGTTACAAAAACCTTTGGTTTTCAGAGTGGGTTACAAGATAAGATACAGAACGTCCAGATGAATTTGAATTTCAGATAAACAACAAATAATTTTTTACCATATGTCCCAAATATTACATGGAACACACTTGTGCTAGAGAAGTTATTCGGTATTTATCTAGAATTCAAATTCAACTGAGTTTCCTGGTTTTTTATTTGCAAACTCTGGGTTTTTGAATTTCAGAATGTCAAACAAGTGATTGTGGACTTGTATCGAGAAATATCCTAACTGAAATACTATTACAGGTACTACTGTTCCGGGGGTAGGGTTTGGTTTGGGCCCTTTTGAAGGGAGTCACAAGAAACAAAGTTTTATTAAACATGCTTTATATGAACAGAGTATGTAAAATATAAGACCCATGCAAAGGCACCCATGTTAACAACTCAAGATATTTCAAAAATTATAAATAAAATGGTTACTCTAAAAACCATTTTAATATGTAGTTCTTCCCTGTTCCACATTAAAGTTCATTACCTATCAAGCATTCCTTTTATAAAAATTCATAAATTCTCCTGTAACAAAGATATAGCTCCATCTAATGGAAAAAAACATCCAATTACACCCCTTCATGGAGCTAGGAATATTTCCATGAGCGTTAGTAAAACTATAAAGTATGTGTAGGCCACAGACACACACACACACACACGCTTTTCTGTGCCGCTTTGTTTTTTGAAACCAGATAGGACCCAAAGGTACTTAGTCATAGTTTTTGCAAGATCTGCTCTTTCCCTTAGATTTGGACTAAATAAATGAAATTGGGATCTCTGGGATCCACCTATTCCTTCCTCTCAAACCAAACCCTCAATGCCTCCTGCCCAGGTAACTACTAGTGTCTCTTAGCTAATTTTTTTTGAGGGGGGCTATTTTCCCAGCCTTCATTCTCTCCCAACTAATAATACATTCTGCATGTTATTTTCAGACTAAATTTCCTAAAACATGGCCTTCATCATTTCATTGCTCTGCCTTAAAACACACATCTCCATTTCATTTTGTTCCTTACTCTCACCCCAACCTAACTATCCAAACTTTTCCCTTCCTACTTCCCATTTCCATCCATTCACGCCATGTGGGTAGCTCCATTTCCTTCTGCTCATTCATACTTTAGCGCTTGGCAGTAATGGAACAAAAAAAGTTCGTAGAATCAGACTGTTCAGACTCAAGCTCAGCTACTTAATCACTCTGAGCCTCAATTACTTCATCTATAAAAATACAACATATATGTAATATAAACAGTATAGCCCTGGACTTACCTTTTTGCTTAAGTCAATTTGGTTGAGGTTTTATGTCCTTTGCAACTTCATGAGTCTTACCTCTTGAAAAAGAGAAAAACAGTCAGGAGCTGGCCTGGCACTCACAGGCTGACAAAGGTATTCTGTAAAACATAAAAAAATTCATAAAGTATTAGCATCAGACAAAGTCACTCTGTGACCATGAGAGAGCAAGACAAAAATAAGGCAATTTAGTAATCATGTCTGAGCAAAGGCAAAAACAACAACACTTTCCAAACCTCAAAAAGGATCAAATATCCCCATTTTCTGGCTAATATAAGGAACTGTTGTTACTTTATTATTACAGTTTTAGCCCCAATTAATTCTTCCTACCTCCTAGGTAAGATTCAGAAAGAAACCCAATCACAGAATTATTCCTACTTCTGATAGCACCCAAACTTGAGCCAGTTGCTTATTTTAAACCCTCCCTGCATCACCTAACACAAGATGCAATCCTATAACTAGGCCTGCCACATAAGGCTTATGTGCATTTGTTTCGAACCAGACAACAGCAAGATCTACCCAATAGCAAGGTTAAGGTCAGAGAGAAAAGGCATCAAAGTCCATTCCTTCAAAATTTTGTGTTTATCTCATTAGTCTTCTTGTTAAATAAGGATAATTCAAAGTTTTCTTACTGATTTTATTTTTATTTTATTTTTCCAAAATTTATATTTATTTATCACACCATTTAGAAGAGAAAACCTTTCACTCCGGAAGTACTTCAGTTGACGTTTCTCAGTACTAATTTTATAAACAAACAAGCCATGCCCTCCTTGTTTAAGGTACTTGAATAAGAACTGTTAGAAAATGGTCCATTTATTTTGAAAATATCTCCCTCTTGAGGGCATTACTATTTATGCACCAATATACTTTTAAACTGCAGCCCTCTGATACATACCGGTGGGTGGAAACAGAAATAAATTAATACAAACATCTTGGAGGACAACTTGGCAACATCTATTAACATTTCAAAACCCATGAGTACTAAAACCTATAGGCAAGGACAGTCACACAAGCACTATGTAGAGTCACCAAAACTGTAAGCCACCTAAATGTCCAGCACTAGGTTACAAGTGTAATGCATACAGTGAAATACATGTAACTATTAAAAGTTAGAAAATCTATATATACTGACATAGAATTATCTCCAAGACATGCTTGTACACACATACTTGTACACATATAAAAATACCTCCAGATGAATGCTGGTAATAGCTATTGCCTCTGAGAGAAGAAATGGATCAGGGGGAGGAAGACATAATTTTCATTGTATACCCTTTCCTTATAAACCGATTTTTTAAACCATCTATATGTATTTTCTGTAAATCAAAAATCTAATAAATTCAATGCTTTGTAAAATTTTTAATTTAATTTAATTAATTAATTTATTTTTGGCCATGCCACGTGGCATGTGGGAGCTTTAGTTCCCCGACCAGGGATTGAACCCATGCCCCCTGCAGTGGAAGTGGGGAGTCCTAACCTCTGGACTGCCAGGGAATTCCCTAAAGTTTTTTAAAAAGAACTTGCGTATAAAGAAATGTACAAATCTTAAGTGTGAAGGACAACAAATTTTCATAAAGTTAACATAAGCAAGTAACAAAAACACATATCAAGAAAAAGAGCCCTGCTAATGTACATTTAAAAGAAAATCCCAGCCATTTAAAAATTTTACCTGTAAATATTTCAGTACGTATCTCTTGAGAAAAGATTTCAGCCTAAAGTGGAACGGGAGGATGTGAAATGGAGACTCTCAGGCATGCACCCTCAGGAAAATAAAACTTAACAACGGAAAGACTGATTTCCCGGAACTTATCTCCCGACCAATGAACATCCACCAAGAATCCCTCCCCATTTTCTATGAACTTACTGCCTGAACTCTGGCTGAACTCCCCACTCTTTGCACTTTCTGCCCATGAATACCACCTGCCCCAAAACCTCAACAGACTCACCTGTAGCTTGGTGTGTCCCAGCTTGCAATTCTCCTGCTATTTCCAAATGAACTCAATTTCTAACAACTCGAGCCTGCCTCAGTTTACCTCTTTATTTAGACTGATATTCAATATATACCATAATACCATTAATAATAAAACATTTAAAAGCATAACTATAATACCATTATCACACTCAATAAAATTAACAATAATTAGAATTTTAAATATTTAATGCTTAAAATTTTTAATACCCAGTTCATGTTCAGTTTTTTTTGCTTATCTCAAAAATGTCTGTTTACATTTGATTTGTTTGAATCATGATCCAGAAAGGTCCACATATTATATTTGGTTGATTTTTCTCTTAAATCTTTTTATTCTGTAAAAGTCCCATCCCTTTTGGTTAATGCTGCTTCTCTGTTGTTGAAGAAACTGGTCATTTATCTTAGAATTTCTCACATTCTGCATATGGCTGGTTGAATCCTCCTGGTGTTGTTTAACACATCTTCATCCACTGTATTTTTTGTAAGCCAGCAGACAGACCTAGAGACTCGATGTGTTTTCTTGAGTTGGTAAATAAAAGTGCTCTATGATGCAGTATGTTTGGGAAATGCTGTATATATATATATATATTTTTTTTTTGCGGTACGCGGGCCTCTCACAGTTGTGGCCTCTCCCGTTGCGGAGCACAGGCTCCAGACGCGCAGGCTCAGCGGCCATGGCTCACGGGCCCAGACGCTCCGCGGCATGTGGGATCTTCCCGGACTGGGGCACGAACCCACGTCCCCTGCATCGGCAGGCGGACTCTCAACCACTGTGCCGCCAGGGAAGCCCTGTATATTTTTATAAATCAACACATGGAAATTTACAAATAAAGACCTGAAAAGTCCCAAAGTGAGGAAATGTTTAATTTTGCTTAACCGTGCATTTCCCATGTGTTTTGTTGTTGTTATTGTTGTCGTACTACCTATTACACTCACATGGAGCTAGAGTCTTGTTTTACACACTCTATATACACTGGAGGAAAAGATCTGAATGGTCTTCTCAGCATTCCATAATTTTGTACGGTGCAAGACACACGGCAGATGTTCATAAAGGTTTGCTGATAGATTGATCCTGCAGACATTTACTGTGTGTTTTCTATTTATACGGTACTATACACGAAAACACTATTCTTGTTCTCAAGAAATAAGATTGAGTTAATGAATCAGCAGGTGTCCAGGAAGCAAAGGCACTGTGCTCATTTAAAGGATAAGGCAGTAAAAAAAAATCTGCTGTGTAGACTGCAGTCATGGAGAGGAAGCCCTGGTGGGGTTCACTGGGGGTAAGCTCCAGTGCTGAGGTCAGCTTTGCAGCTAAGCAACAAGAATTGGCAGCAAGTCAGAGCTGAAAAAGACCCCAGAAATCATCCAGTCTAGTGTCTTCATTTACAGAGGACACGAAGCCCAGGAACAGGAAAGGACTCTCAATAACAGGTTGGAACTAAACGAGGGACACATCTTAGAACTAAAACCCAGCTGTTCCTGCTGCTAAATTTTTTTTTTTTTTTTGATACGCAGGCCTCTCACTGTTGTGGCCTCTCCCATTGCGGAGCACAGGCTCCGGACACGCAGGCTCAGCGGCCATGGCTCACGGGCCCAGCTGCTCCGCGGCATGTGGGATCCTCCCGGACCGGGACACGAACCCCTGTCCCCTGCATCGGCAGGCGGACTCTCAACCACTGCGCCGCCAGGGAAGCCCTAAATGATGTTTGCTTTTTTTTTTTTTTGCCTGCTGCTAAATTTAATAATACCCTGAAAAAGTCCCTTTCAAAATTATTTTTGTTGTAGGTAAACTGTTTCGTTTTGTCTTCTCTCTGGAAGCTTTTAGGATTTTTTCTTTATACTTTGGAGTTCTAAAATTTCTTCAAGGTGTGTCTAAGTATGAGCTTTTCCCTTCATTCTGCCTGGCTTACAGTCAGACTTTTTAATATGAAGATCCAAGTTTCCTTAGGCTCAGGGAAACTTTCATCATTTCCTTGCATTTCTCTATCTAGACCAGTTGTTTCCATTTGTTCATCCAGTTGTTTTATCTTTGCTGTTTTATTCATTTTGGGTCATCTTTAGTTGATCCTTCCACATTTATGAATGAAAAGTCCTGTCTATGATCTGGCTTGGGATTCATCTGTAGTTATATAGATTTCTTTACATAGAAGGGCACACAGAGAAAAACTTGACCTTGAGGTATTCACAGTCTAGTGAGGGAGGATAATGAGTAAACCAAAAATTCTGTCAGAGGGTCAGAATGCCTATAGTGCAGCTTAAGCAGAAAGAAAAGGTGGTGGTATCAGTTTGTGTGCTAGGAAATTCCAAGTGTGCCCCTCATCCAACTTCAGTAGCTGCCTCTGGCTCTTCCTGGGTCGGGCTGGAAATGGAGGGGCTGGCAGAGAAAAGGTAAGGGTACAAAGGTCAGACTTAAGAGCAACGGTTTGGTGGCATGTTTCTCTGGACAAGAAGAAAGTTCAAGCCTTATTCTTTATCTCAAAGGATACTGTAAACAAAGAATGATGTCCACCATCCCAGTTCTACAGGGGTTAAGCCATTAGCCACTGCAGTCGCCCTTAGGGGAATTCAGGATGGAGAAAAACAGGAAATATTCTGTGCTTTGGTATACTGGCCCTACATAGTTAAGATGCACATCTAAGGAATCATTTCAATGAACCCAGCTTCTTGCACCTTCCCATACATAGAAAAGCACTAAAATCATTAATTTGAGATGTCTGTTCTTTGTGAATAGCAATAATCTTTTGACATTTGACTACATGTTTTTTTACAGCAAAAACCCTCACATATATCCTGGTTCCTCCTTTACCTCTTCAGAGCAGTTCCTCAAAGCTGTCTGAGAGGCTATTTCCTGGGCTATAGTCCTCAGTAAGGTCCATGAATGAAACTTAACTCATAACTTTTATGTTGTATGTTTCCATTTCAGTAGACAATACGTATCTGAATTTCTCAAAGATTTATCACTGAGAATCTTTATCTACAACATTTGTGGCATGGGCAATGCTCTTTCTTAGAACTTTCACTTACCACTTGTAGCCTCTGAGTACTTGGTGGTTCATTCTACACAGATTCTTTTTGTTTGGGGTCCCCTCTCTCTCCCAAGTAGTCCTCTTAAGCAGACAAAAATTTAACCCA